ACCAAATGTTACATTTAATTACAGATTCAATCAACAATGTATTTTCCCTGATTAACTATGACTTCCTTCCATCTATTACCAAGCTTACTAATTCCATTACTGTGAAAAAATTTTTGCTTTGATTCGAAGAACTCACAAATGTCAGTTTTAACCTCTTCCTGTGTTACAAAAAGCCGTTTTTTTCAAAATGATTCTGTAAGCTACGAAACAGATGGTAGTCTAAAGGAGCAAGATCGGGAGAATAAGGTGGATGAGGAATTTTCTCCCAACCAAGTTCTTCGATCTTTTGTGACGTGATTCTTGCTGTGTGGGGTCTCGCATTGTCCTGATGAAACATCGCATCTTTTCGATTCACTAGAGTAGGTCTTTTTTTCCTCAAAGCTTGGTTCAAACGCTCTAATTGCTGACAGTATATTTGAGCATTAATTGTCGCATTAGGTGGTAAGAATTCAAAGTGGATTATTCCTTGGCGATCCCACCAGATTGAAAGAAGAACCTTTTGCCCATGAAGTTCTATTCTCGTCTGTGGCTGGTGTCCTTCCCCTTTACCAAGCCACTGTCTACGACGCTTAACATTTCGATAAAAGATCCATTTTTCGTCGCCAGTCACAAGTCTATCCAAAAAGGTGAAATAATTTGGCGAGAATGGAGAGAGAAGAGCAGATGTCAACTCAGGATTTGAGGTTGTTTTCAGACAATTCATGAGGCAACCCATGTTCCAAGTTTAGAAACTTTTCAAGTTGTTGAAGATGACGATGAACAGTTGTATGGTTTGAACTGAGAACCACTGCCAATTCCTCAACTGATAAAGCAGGATTTTCTTCAAGGGCTGCTTCAAGAAGCTTTTTCATCAAACTCAACTGGACGTCCGGTTCGATCATCATCTTCAAGGGTGAAATCTCCACCTCTGAATTTTTGCAAACCATCTTCTGCAAGTTCTTTAATTCACATTCCTCTCCATAAACTGAGTGAATGTTTCTAGCCGCTTCGGCTGCTGAGTTTCCTTTCTTGAACTCATAAAGCATTATGTACCTCAAATGATTCTTGGGTACTTCCATGTTAGCAGAGTATTAATCAAACAAAATTTGATTTTATTGTTCTCTGAAATAAAATTTGACCAGTTTAAATGCATCTAAACATAAAAACAATGTTCAGCTCTATTAGACATTATATAATACTCTTTAAATTTCGTTCATTTAAAAAAGGTAAAATTCAGACAGAACTTAAGATGACCTGATATATATATATATATATATATATATATATATATATATATATATATATATATTATCATCCTGAACAGACTGTTTCGCTGTATCACAGCTCATCAGTTATTATACACACACACACACACACATATATATATATATATATATATATATATATATATATATATATATATATATATATATCATAATTAGTGCTGTCGGTTTATCTATGTATAAGTTTTATCTCTATCTCTCTATCTCAGTCTAATCTATCTATTTATCTGTCTCAGTCTAACCTTATCTATCTCAGTCTAATCCTATCTATCTACCTATCTAAGTTTAATTCTCTATTTCTGTACCTATCTCAGTCTAATCCATCTATTTATCTATCTATTTATCTGTCTCAGTTTAACCTTATCTCAGTTTGATCCTATCTATCTATCTATCTATCTATCTATCTCAGTTTGTTCATATCTATCTATCTATCTATCTATTTATCTATCTATCTATCTATCTCAGTTTGTTCATATCTATCTATCTATCTATCTATCTATCTCAGTTTGTTCATATCTATCTATCTATCTATCTATCTATCTATCTATCTATCTATCTCAGTTTGTTCATATCTATCTATCTATCTATCTATCTATCTATCTCAGTTTGTTCATATCTATCTATCTATCTATCTATCTATCTATCTATCTCAGTTTGTTCATATCTATCTATCTATCTATCTATCTAAGTTTGTTCATATCTATCTATCTATCTATCTATCTATCTATCTCAGTTTGTTCATATCTATCTATCTATCTATCTATCTATCTCAGTTTGTTCATATCTATCTATCTATCTATCTATCTATCTATCTATCTATCTCAGTTTGTTCATATCTATCTATCTATCTATCTATCTATCTATCTCAGTCTCATCTTATCTATCTATCTATCTATCAGATAGATAGATAGATAGTCTAATCCTATCTGTCTATCTCTCTCTCTGCTTATTACTTTCTGCACTGCTTTGCAGCTTTGCTTGAGATTTAATTTGTAAAACTTTTTGACGCCCTGTGCATTGTAATGAAAATCTAGTGCATTTTATTAAATGCCTGGGCGATCATTTTTGCACTGTCCTTTTAGCCGTACAAGAATAACGCTTTGTCTTCTGTTGGGCGGACGTCTATTTTGAGTTTAAATGTTGGCGAGCCTCTGAGAAAAGACGGAATCGCACAATTAGATCGACACATAACTGAGATTTCGTTAATATCATTTCTCTTTTCTTTTCATATTTGAAACACACACACACACACACACACATATATATATATATATATATATATATATATATATATATATATATCAGCGATCTATATATTTACATCTGTCGTCTGTGCTGTGCAATAAATCTTGTAAATCATTTGCCGGTTTCAAGAGACATTATTGGTCTTTTGTTAATTTTACAAGCGTAGTAGCTTAGATGTGGCACAAGGCAGAAAATATAGGGCACTCATGAACATTGAACACACTACTCAGTCGTAATTGTTCTAGCTAGACAAACTCGATAATCATTACACCGTTTTTAGTCTTATGATTGTCATATTCGTTTAAAGAGTCGACAGCCATCACACACACACACACACACATATTTGTGTATTTAGGCAGCAATCATTCTTTCATGCACATTTCATTGAATACGACAGACACGGTGCTTTGATTTAGTTTTTTAGACAATTTCTCATGCGATCTAATATTTTTTTCTTTTCAAATGTTAAATTATATAAAAACTGTCCGAATGTTCTTTTTATCCGAGCACTTTCGGCTATACATTTAGCCATTTTCAAGGATTATATATTTTAACTGTTAAATAAGAAATAGTTTGTTGCATGTATGTATTTAGATAATGTTTTCATTTTCAAAACACGGTCAATATATTGTGTCCATCTTCATAGTTGATATTATTGAGTGTTTGTTTTTTTGTTGTTGTTTTTATTATTAAGGCTTCCATTATTTTTAGCATTTTCTGCATGTAGATGATGCTATTATATTTGTGTTGTCAACAAGTATGTTGCGAATAGTGTCCGTTAGATCTCCATGAGTATTTAAATGCGATCTAATTGCCTAATGGTCAGAAAGGTGTACAGTGAGCCTTCGTGTCAAACATGTTGTAGTGTGACCTATATATATATTTACGAATATTGATTGATCAGGAATACAATTCCCTAATGGACATTTAAATTCGTAAATAATATTTGTCCTAGAATTTGGACAAATATTAACAAGCCCGGGCTACTCGACTTTAATAGTAAAGTATGGCTCTCGAATCCGCCACGGATTTGGCTCTTATATTAAAGTTGGGTTCCCCTGTGGCAGAGACCACAAATACGAAAACCCAGATTTTTCATTCATGTGTTTCTGCCTGGCACTTGTCCATAGGATGATGGAATTATTTTGTTTGACAAAATAACTGAGAAATCATTTGAAATGCTATCTGATCATCCGCTATCGAGCATTCATATTTGCGATGACTTCCCAAGAAGTGATTGGTCAGAACCGATGTAGAAGGCAGATGCTATCAGAATCTATCTATCGCTTATGATCTGGTCCGAATCGTTGAATCGTTTGTTAAAGATTCTGGAACCGCTCCAATAACTATCAGAATCTCCCTGCTATACTCTATCTTTACAAGAACCAGATCAGACCAAAAATGGATTATCGCTGCCATATCTGGACTGGAGCTGTCATTCCTCACTTGCCTGTCTTGATAGAGTTCAAAAGTATATTCACGGCCTTGTGGGTGATTAAATATTTTCCACTATACAACCCCTTTCCCACGGACAAAATTTTGCGCGACTCTCGATGCTTTACGGTACTTTCGTGTGTTCCGATGAAATATATTCTTTAGACTAACCACATCTTATCATTAAATCTGGGATCCAAAATGTCACATAAGCATGGATGAAACAACCTAATTCTCTTCGTATGCCTTTAGTAAAAAGTAAGTTCCATTCGAATAGGATCTTCCTAAAAACTCATAGTTTCTGAAAAAGACACTCGGCAGCATTTTGCTTGTGCACACACACACATACACATAGATAGATAGATAGATAGATAGATAGATAGATAGATAGATATTATTAAATAAAGCTAAACGTTAATTTCTACAGTACCTATTCACAGTTTCGCAGAGATTGCATCCACTCACCAGAGAACTCTTTTGCTATCTGTGTTTTTGTACCGGTAGCGGAGTGAATCTGCGAAATATTTGAGTTATAGTTTAAGTTCAGATGCTTGTAACTAATAGGTAATAAGAAAATATATATATATATATATATATATATATATATATATATAATTGTAACGAGAATAAAAATTTCCGTGGTTAACATGGGTTTTGAGACTTGTAAAGAATACGAGCATAATATGAAATACATATTAATGAACAGAATGATAGCGACTGATAGAAAACTTCATAGCCATTAAAGAGAGATAACTAGATAGATATGAACTGAGATAGATAGATAGATAGATAGATAGATAGATAGATAGATAGATAGATATGAAGTGACTGAGATAGATAGATAGATAGATAGATAGATAGATAGATATGAAGTGACTGAGATAGATAGATAGATAGATAGATAGATAGATGTGATAAAAGGCAGAAATGGAAGTCTTAAAGTAAACAGCTTACAAGGACGGTATTTGTATTCTTGTGAAACACTGCATGGCGTGCCTGAGTTCAGTTAGTTGAAGTAAACTTCCACACATTCAGTCTAGCTGAGAGATTGCAGACAAAATGGTTGTTTACAAGAAAACCAGTTTCTTTACATTGTCATTAGGTTGTTGACAGCTAGCTTCCCTTTTCTTAGTCTGATTTTAGTTTTTATTTCATTCTTTTTTCCTTTGTTGTTTCTTCCCTTTTTCTTTCTTTCTTTCTTTCTTTCTTTCTTTATTGCTTGTTTGCCTTTTTCCCTTCATTGTGTGCCGTTTGCTTCTTTCCGTCCATTATTCCTTTCTCCATTTTGTTTGTCTTATTTTTCTTTCTTTTTCTTTTGTTTCCTTTTTTCTTGCTTTCTTCCTTCATTCTTTCTTTCTTTATTTCTTTCTTTCTTTCTTATTGTTCGATCTTTTTATTTGGTCCGCTCTTCTTTTTTTTCTTGCTTTTCCGCTTCCTTAACTTCTTTCTTTCTTTCTTTCTTTCTTTCTTTCTTTCTTTCTTTCTTTCTTCAACGGTGTTTTCACTTCTCTTAATTTTTGTTTCTTCTTCCTGGATTCTTCTGTCACGAAATGTTCTTTTGTCATCGTTTTTTTTTTCTTCTTCTTTCCCTTATCTTTGTGTTTCACATTATCTAACGTTGCTTCTTTTTTCCTTATTCTATTTATACCAAAAAGATTATTTCTTTCTCTTTTTTATTACATATTTTTTTCTTATATTCTCACTCCCTTTCTCCTTTCTTCAAGTCTCTTTGTTTACCTTTGGTTGTTCATCAATTCATACTAAACACTTCCCAGTCTATTATTTTCATTTTTCTTCACTTTTTATTTTTCACTTTTCTTCGTTTCATTTTTCTTAACTCTTGTCTTTTTTTTCATTTCATTCTTTTATGTTTCTCTCTATATTTACTTTTCTCTTTATTCCTTTTCTTTCTGAAATTTTATTCTTTCAAACTTCTCCTATCGATTTTTCTTCAGTTTTCATCCATTTCTACTGCTTTGAATAGTCTTTCTCTTCCTGTCACACTCTATCCATCTTAAAATAATCTTACCTTTGATCGCTGCATCCGTCACCCTTGTCGTTGCTCTACACCTTTGCCGATGCGCAATGAATCATCTAAACGAGTTCTTCTGAAGTTTCCCAGTTCATTATGCCAAACTTTCTCAAACACTCATTCATTGCAGCGTTCCTTTACTCATTCTATCCATCTTCGTTTTGTTTATTAAGATGTCAGGGAAATGCTTCCCCCCCACACACTTTTCACTTGAATTTGCTCTTGTTTTCACAACTTCAAGCTTTTCAGATAACTAAAACGCAATATATACATGCAGGCAGACACACCTGCGGGTACAAAAACATGATTTGCTCAGATAGATAGATAGATAGATAGATAGATCATTGTATAAAATATGTAAGAATCTGTATATATATATATATATATATATATATATGTGTGTGTGTGTGTGTGTGTGTGTGTGTGTGTGCGTATTTTAATCATTAGACCCAAGAAAGGTAATAAAGCCACAAAGATGCAAGAGTTTACTGTGTTAGAGACTATGAGAAAAATATACTATTAAGGAGAGAGGACATAAAGAACAAGGATTAAGAAAACAGAAAAGAACGATTGACATTGCATTGATATTTTTGAAGATCAAATTTGACTGGGAAGCATGAAGCCAAAAGAGAGTTCCACAAGCGATAAGTGCGATGGAAGAAACTATTAGCGTAGAACTTACGGCTACATCTACTCATTTAAACTATAAAATGTTGATACCTTGTGAGCAGAAAGAAACAGTGACAGTATGGATACATGGATTAGCACTGCATAGCGAATGGCATTTTCATCTCTCATGGTCTGAAGATGGTTTGAGTTGTTAAAGTGACAATCACGATGAAATGTTGATACCTATGTCTACACTGCCTATATTTACAAACTATCTATGATAGTGAGCCTTCTTACTCCATAATTATACAAAACTTTAAACATATATATATATATATATATATATATATATATATATATATATATATATATATATATATATATATATATATACATTAAGAATTGGACAAAGTCCGACAATTTATTAAAGACATTTTTTATAAAAAGAATATATAAACATAAAAAATGTTTTTAATATATATATATATATATAAATATATATATATATATATATATATATATATATATATAGAGAGAGAGAGAGAGAGAGAATTACATATTTTGAGTGAACCCGTCTGCTCGGCCGTTTAGGCAGTCTCTCTTAAGAAAATATTTGCCTGTTTAACGCCCACGGTGTCCACCTGTTTTTTTATACTGCAACTTCACTAAACGGACCCTACTTACAGTTTCTGGGGGTGAAGCCATAACCTGGCATGTTCATCAGTTCAAGGGCAGGACGCTGAAACCCTCAACCATGATGACTTACGACTTCGTGCTAGCTTAACCAACAACGGCTTCTGAACAGGTCCTGATACCTTCAGTGATGAAGAATTGCAAATTCATGTTAACAAAAGCATCACCGATCCTTTCGATTTAGCAAATAGATTAGGTTTATTCTTCATAAATCCCCTCGATGAATTATTGAAGCAACTATATCATAATTCTAGTTGAAGTTTTTTCAATTATCAGAATCACTCAATTTGAAAAAAAAATCGCTTTAAATGGTAAAAAAAAGAGCAAAGAGCAAAGAGGTTCAAGCATAAAGACAAGCTAAGATTAACCTCTCAGCTGTCAATGCGCCTCATACTAACTTCGAGGTGAGTTGCCCTGGATAGAAATAATTGTAGGTGTTTTTGCCAGAATGATAGCAGAAATATCGAAATCAGTTGTATTGACCGGTTAAGAGACGAAAGACAACGGCGAAAGACGTCCGCAAATATTTCTGTCGGTATGTTCCGAGATCCCCGCTGTTGTATACAAGTTACTAGAGGGACTGAAATACGATACAAGCTGTTATACCAGAACATTACCTATTCTATTGTAATAGACTCTCCCACAGATAATAAGTAGTTTAGGAAGAGGTTCCGGGTACTCTCTCTCTCTCTCTCTCTCTCTCTCTCTCTCTCTCTCACTGGCCTCTGTATCTCCAGTTGCCTTGATCTATCCACTACCCTTCTCCTCATCCTTTCTTCTATCACTCCTATCAGATCTTGCTCCAAATTTTCTGTAACCCCTTGCGTCCTAATGGCTTCCCGCCTTGCTTGGGGTGAAACGCTTAAAAAAAAAAGCAGTGGCCAGTTGGGCTCCGTGGTGTTGAGTGTCAGTCGATGTCGTACATAAAATACCAACCATCACAACTAGATTGCTGCGTCATTAACTCTTATTTCAAGTTCCTAACGTTTTTACGTCGGACCCTTTTTAGGACCTGTTACAGTTTTTTGTGTATATGTATATATAACTAGGGAGTTAGCTCAAATGACTTCTCACTTTATAGTCCACCAATAGAAGGTTAACCAATCAGAAGACGTAGAACATTCAATCCGTCGTGTATAAAGGCGGCCATTTTTGTCTACTCTACCCGAATGTCCAGTCCAGCTTATCAGGCGAAGAGAAACAGAAGGACGAACTATGCTCTGCTACCTTTTACCAAAATATCCACTGCTAACCTGAACAACGCTTTCCTACTGTCTTCGAAATATTCACTGCTAACCTCTGGATTCTATACTCGAAGACGACCGTCATTATGAATAACAGGACCGACTTATTGAAATACAAGCCTCCACTGTAAAAACTACTCTACGACACAAGCATAAGAGCTGAATAAGATTGTCGGATTCTCATTAGTCGAAATCAACGGGAGTGTCCATCATATACAGATAGAATACAAAATTTAACTGAATACTGGCATAAGATCAATGAAATAGAGAGATAGTACCTTGATGACTGAATAATGATGTCATGAATTCAATAATTCGCTTTTTGAAACGTTTTGCAATCAACCTGCCTTACGTACATATCACAGTGAAACACGGGTTCTCGTACCATCACTGAAGTTAAGCTACTTTGAGCCTGGTCAGTACCTAGATGAGTGAACCCTTGGGAATACGAGGTTCTGTCAGCTTGGATGAGCGGGTGGTGTAATAGCTCGGAATTGGAAATCGGAGAGCCGTGTTCCAATTCCAGTTGAATTTTGTTATATTCACTTACTCGCAAATACACTTGGGAAAAGTAAGAATCCACATTTTCTCCCTACCCCGCTTGATATGGGTTAATTAGTAGAACTTGTAACTGTAAAAATCATTATTCACGCCTGAAATTTGTTTTGAAATCCTTACAATCTAAAAAATATTTTCTGGCTTTAAATAACCTGCAATGGGTTGATAATCCGTAAAAAATCGATCAATAAAAATGCTATCAACCTAATACAAGTCTTAAGAGTTATCGTGATTTTGTAAGGCTAGCTTAGATGTGGTACAACGTCGAAAAAACCAGGCACTCAGTGAGGATTGAACCCAGTGTTCAGACATAATTGATCTGGCGTGACAAGCTTGCTAACTGGTGCACCTCCTGAAAGTACCTAAAGTCTAGACCTTTATGATGTTTTTACCCATAAGACGGATAGTGGCATTCTTGACCCAACTTTGGCTAAGAGACAAACAATAACTCTTTCTATCGCAATTGCACGTTCGCACACCGCACACATCAGGAACTATCTCCGATCTTATCTAACTGTTGTGGCCTGTTTAGAGGCCAGAAAGAAAGACACAGAAGACGAAGGTAGGTTGGAAAAGTACATTGAAGACATATACAAAACAATAGTGTTAGTAATAAGTAGATTAGCACTGCGTCTACTACTTCACACTCTGCGCTCGTCCGACTCTCGCAGTTTGTATTTATGAGAGAAGGAAGAGTTCGTTAGACTGTAAGAGGGTTTACCACAACACTCACCATGATATTTTGGCAAGACAGCTTATTTCAGAGGATTGTTCAAGATTGGAGACATGACATCAACCAGGAAACGAACTTTACAAATACATTTCTTCATGCGTAGAGATATATAATTTGATTATCGAATCAGGATTTGCATTAATTTTTTCAGAAATTCTCTGCTTCGGTATAAAATATTTCTTTAAATAACAAGTTTAAACTCTCTCGCAAAATTATAATGTAGGAGTTATCGAGGAAAGAATTTTGTATATTTCAAAATTCCATACTTGTCAATGCATAAAAATTAGTTTATTCTCTCCCTATCTAGGGAGGAAAATATATCGAATCACAAAAATTGCAAGACACATGTAACTATTGTAACACCGATGCACATGTGTGATGATGCAATTTTGTAAGTCACTGCACACAGTGTGATCATACCCAATGTCGACTGTATGCAAATACACCGGTGCTCGCTATTTTTCACAGTTTTGTTTCAAAGTTAAGCCGTCAACAAAGAATAACGACAAATGCTTTTCAAAACACTTGTTTATTTGGGAAATAGCAAAAAAAGAAACGATTTCTCAGTTAATTGGCAATGTCTTCCTTCTGCTTCGTGAAAGCGAAGTTCTAGCCACGGGAAACAGACCCCCACACATTCTCTATCTGGATGCTTCACTCATTGCCGGTCCCTTCACTCACCATATGGATACTGGCTGGGGGACCCGCCATCACTTTTCGCCCACTTGTACTCCACCAACGGGAAAAGGGAACACCTAGACAGCTTTTGGGTGGTCAGATTTTTTTCAAAGGGCCCTACTTTTACGGCTATCAAAATCGTTAATAAAATTTTATTTTTGTCAATTCAAAAGTGGACTGGAGAAAAGTGGACTCTTGAAAAATCCTGGTCATTAAATTTACACAAAGATGGAGACAAAAATCCCGTGAATCGCTGTTCATTAAATTAAATAAAGTATCTATTTATTCATATGTGAGAAATCATAATGCTATACATGTACATATATGCGTAGAGACATACATGAAGACATAGTAAATCGATAAAAAAAAATTGTGTAGCCTGTCAAGTATTTATTTACAGTTCTGAAATCTTCATTGTATATTTCATTCATGTACTTTATATTCAGTACTGAATTAAAAGTTTATAAAAGGGACGAGATTATGCTAAAAAGTAAATATTTGCGCGTGGAATTGATTTACTATATTTATATATATACATATTGCTGCCACATATGGTCCAGTTCTCTTGCTACCTATCTAGAGCTCCTTGATAAGGTCCAAAGATGAATTAGCAATATTATTGACTTCGATCTTCAGTGAATTTCTCCCCGCCATAAATAATTTCACGATAACTCTATGGATGAGCTCTTTGCTACGGTGCCTAGAACTTAAGCGTGGTGCTAGACTGGCGATGAGATAGAACCAATTTACAGCTGAGCTGGTGAGATGCAACTGTAAATTCTATGCTAACAGATTCTTTTCTCGAACTTCTCGCTTATGGGACTCCCTCCGGCTCCATATTTTCCAACCAACTTTAATGTACAAAAAATTAAATGCAGTGTTAATCGCTATCTGCTGTCTACCTAATTACTCTTCTTCTGTTCTCGCTCCTTAGCTATGTTACTCTTTCTAACTGTCCTATGCCTATTAACCCCTTACCTCTCGGTTTTATTATTATTATTATTATTATTATTATTTACCGCCTTGATTGGGGTGAACTCGATTTTAAAAAATGTTTGTGTGTATTTATGTATGTATGTTTCACTGAATAAAAATTTTATAATATTTTTATGCATCATTAAAGAATTCTCTTCAATCGTATATCCAAGAAAAGCTAGCTATAAATTACTATATACTAGGGTGGGCTGAAAACTTCCTAAGTAAAATATGAAGGAGTGATGCTAGAACTGTGAAATCATGCGCGCATAAATTTCAACTCTTCTTATTAATAACTGCATTGTTTTTTCCAGATAAACTGGCATCTAACTGTTCAAAGAAGACTTCAAATGCAACTAGTAGCGACTTCTCTTGAAAATGAACAAAATTTGGCATCATGGTTTTATGAAGTACCTTCAGAAAAGGAGTTTAGCCATTAAGGACATTCATGCTGACATGGTTACTGAATTAGGGGATGACGCTCCACCTTTGTCAACAAATCAAAAGTAGGTAGATGAATTTACGAGGGGACAGTTTTGAAGATGACCCAACTGCTACCACCATGGAAAATATTGATCCTATTCACTACATAGTGGTGGATGACGGACGATTGTCGATAAAGCAAATAGTCAATGCTATTAGCATATCCTGTGAGAGTTGAGAATATCCAGAACAATTAACAAGTATGACAGTGGTTTCTACTGGGTAGGTGCCGCGACTTCTGAAACCTGATCAATAGCCCACCGGGTTGATTATGTCACGAGAAAATCTGACATTATTTCAGGCAGATCCAGCTGGTTTACTTCAACGGTTTCTAACCCAGGATAAGTGTCGGGTTCATCACTTTGAGCTATAGACGAAGAGACAATCCGTTCAGTGGAAGCACTCCTCCTTGCCTGCTCCAAAGAAGTTGCTTAGTTTTGGGGGATGCTGAAGTCGTCTTTAAAATGGCCACACTATCAATAGAGAGTACCAGTCAAATTTTCTTGTGACAGTAACGGAAGGCTACGAAGACCAAGAAAATAACCAAAAGGGGTTTCATCAGGACAATGCTCCAGAACATAAATCCTTGGTTTCAATGGCAGCTGTGTGTAACTGTCGCTCTGAACTTGTTGACAACCATGGTTGATCAACAGAATTTGCCACATCTGATTATCATCTGTTTCCCAACATGAAAAATCACTTGGCTTAGAATCAGTATCGCGATGAGGTGACGTCATATCTGCTGTTGATTTTTTTACAAACAGGATGAAAGAATTGTAGGAATCGTGTGTTGATTAAAAAGAAATCAGCAACCAGCGAGTAAATTCAAGCTCTCCCAACTGGTATTCCAACCTCGTGTCGTTCCTTCTTGAGTTCTGTCACAAAATCGCACTAACAGATTTTTCTAGCCGCCAACCGTGAACATCCCTCAAAGCAAAGGGAAAAATTAGTTGCTTTTATATTTGTCCATATACCCATAATCCCTTGCGTCTTCATGCGATCCCATAATTCATTGCGTCCCTGTCCCATAATGGATTGCATCTTTATTGCATAAAAATGTAATGCAAGTCCCTCCTCATTATTTTACGTTATCTGGCCGAGGACGGATTACGGCAGAGCGGTAAGTGCTTTTTTCTCCCTCATTTCAACTGCAGTAGCTTTACAGGCTAAGCAAATACAGGCTCTTTTTTGGCGGGGACAAGGCAAATCGGAACCAGTTGTGCTCGTCGTAGGTTCTGTCTCATCACGTCTGCCACAGACCGCAAAGGAGGCAATGTTGGAAATTAAGTCCCATTTGTTTACATTTCATAAAACTATTCGTCAGCTTATGAACTTTTCAGCCAACCCTGGTTTTATAAAAAAAAATTAAAAACCTGCTAACCTCATAATTACGAATAAAAATACGCCTGTGAAATCCAAACTTCAGACCAGCAATGTGATCTGTAATTCCCCACCTCCACTCACTATTTTTATCACGGCTATCAATTTGATATCTGTTTTAATGACACAACCATTTACTCCTGTCTCGATTCTAAGTCTCATTGGTCCGACAAGATCAAATTGGCGGTTGATGTCAAAAATGACCTTCGGTCTGTTGTTAAGTGGGGTTAACAATGGCTTGTTAGTTTAACGCCTCGAAAACTAAACTGCTCTCTATTCATCTTCTAAGGTATCCCCTTCTGCCTACCATATACATGGTTGATATTAACCTCCGGGAGACTGACACGCTGCACCTTCTCTGGATAACATTCTCTGCTGACACGAAGCGGAAAGAAGGTCAACTGTTACGAAAGTTAGCTCACTGTATTGTGCTAGGCAATTTTTCGCTCCTGAATCGATCTTAAATATGTATACAGGGTGCGAAGTTTAAAAAAAAAAGCGGCAAATTTATTATCACTGGGATATCTTTCAGGAACAATTGACCTTGAATAATCTTGCATAAATGTCTTGAATATACACCACCCTGAATAATCATCCGACTCTCGCGTAATTACTTAACTATGATTGGTTCTTTTATTATTGATTAATTGCTGC